TATTTTTCATGACTTTTTGTTTGTCGGCAAACAGTGGCAGTATCATTTAGCTAACAAGTTCTGTCTGGAAAGATGAAATAGAATTTTTTTTCTCGTTCGCAGTCAACTAACACCCAACAAGAAGCTTTTCTCTAACACTGCCATTTTTCTTTCAAAATGGCTCACTGTGGCTATCTTCCAACGCATAAATTTGCTTGCAAATCTGTGGCTAACGAATCAGTTTTCATACCCACTACTTAAAAGACCGTTTATTAATCATTCATAATCAATAATAAAAGGATGAACCCGAAATGCTATTTACAGGTCGGGGAAAACTAAAATCAAATCAAATATCTGGAAAATGTTTTGATGGAGGAAGGTAAGTGCGATGCTGAGATCTGAAGACAGATATGGATAGCCAAAGATGCATTCTAAAACCAAGGCAAAGTATTACGAGACAGAAGGATTTATTGGTAACAAAAAAAAAGTACTGAGCTGCTACATGACATCTGTCCTCCTTTAGGGCAGCGAATATTGGACGGTTTTCTCAAAGATGAAGAGTCTAAAAGTATCAGAGATATTAGATCATCATTATAGGGGTAAGTGCGAATGACGACTCAAAATTATGTTACAATTACAGGTATAACTACTTTATTCTTCAATCTCTTCTTCTTTGTGCCGTATAAGACGTAGCTCTTCACAATTTATTATCTCTTGTGACCCTTAACAGTGTCTTTCCCTTTTCCAAGCCTCCCACCAATCGTTCCGCTATTCATTTACATAAACGAGACGGGCAGATTGCTCGCTGTTTCGTTACGCCCTGTGAGGGTTAAGTTTTCTAAGCCATCATTCCTCATTATGAACCCAAGTAATTTCAACTGTCTCTCATTTATTCTGAGTATAAGTATACAATTTTCTTTAAGACTTCCTCGTTGCTTACAAGCTCCATCCATAAATTCTTCATATAATTCTGTAGAACAACATTCCTGTGACCTCCAGGGAGGTATGGTTCTACAGAAAGATGCTAAGGAAATCATGGACCGGGCGAGCGAGCAACGAAGAGGTTTTGGAGAGGATGCAAACAAGGAAAAAGCTTATGCTTAAAATCAGGAAAAGGCAGCTGAAGTTCCTGAGACACATAATGAGGAAGGATAGCTTGGAGAATCTGATACTCACGGGTCGAATAGAGTGAAAGAGAGACAATGGAAAGCAACGCATGACATATCTGGCAGGCTTATGCAAATGGATGACAGAACATGGCCTGGAGGAAGTAGCAAAGGATAGGGGGAAGTGGAGAGCCATCGTCGCCTACGTCCTGAAGAGACACGACACATAAAAAGAAAAAGAAAGAAATTACATGGTGATATTTCATTGTGCCGCTTCGTTGCCAGTTATTAAGCGACGGACTGGCGAAGGCTTAATATCAATTGGATATCATTTAGAAAAGGCAGCCTTTAAACGTTTGCGTCACTGAGATATTATTTAGGTCCTAATCTGGCATCTCGTCTACAGTCACTTTCTCACGGACGTAATGTGGCTTCCCTCTGTCTTTTCTAGGTATATTTTCATAGCAACTGCTCTGAAGAGCTACTTTCACTGGTCCCCAAACTACATTTATTTAAGCGAGTTGCTAGGTTGGCATCTCGGTTCCAACCATTCACTGTCGAAAGAGTTACATGTAATCGGTTTTTCTACTTCAATAGCTTCTTATCTCGCACTTCCCCACAGTGGAACTCTCTTCCTCTTACTTGGTTTCCTGATAGCTTTAATCTTCAAATATTCAAATATAATGTCAATCGATATCTTCTGATGTCTTGATCCTGATCCCCGTCCTTCTCTCTATCCTTTTCTCAAACATACCTTTTGACTCTTGTTCTTTGCGCGCTAGTGTCACTTCGTCTTGTTTGGTGTGATATGCATAAAAAAATAGCTGCTTGCTGGAATTTATTGAAATAATCACTCTCTAAACAAGGCAATAAATCCAGTAAGAGGCAAATGGTTACTCAGTGTGCGAGATCACGAGAAAAATAAAAAAAACATTATTAAAGAGAAAGAACAACAAAAAGACGGGAATTATGAAGGCATTGCATTTCAATTTTCAACAATAAAAGTTGAATGGAAAAAAGTGGTTAGAAGAGAGTTCCACAAGCAAGAAGTGCAAGAGAAGAAGCTATTAGCATAGAACTTACAGTTCTAGCTAACCATTTTAACTGTCAGATAGTGATACCATGCCATCCTATCTAGTAGTACGCTTACATTCATAAAGTCTTGGTGCCAAAGAGGAAAGCAATTTCCATAAAAGTATTTATAGAAAAGGCCGAGGGAAAGTGACTGTATCCCTGATGCTAGGTCAAGATCAACAACTTTTCACTTAGTATTAGCAGACTAGATGTGATAGCAATATTCAATGCATAGACTAATTCTAGACTTATAAATGTCTAAGATAGATTCTGGTGAGAAAAATTGTCTAGCAGAAAACACTGAACCAACTTTGCTGGCAACAGACCTAGTAATTCATTTAATATAATCACTTCACTTCATCGGAAAATGTTTGCCCGCGAAGTCACAAGGAGTCATATTTATGTAGGTTACCATCAGCCACGTTGACTGAAATCGCAAAGGTTATCTCATACAATTAAAGGAAAGCAGTTTTGGTTCCGAGGTCTTAAATTAGGTTTAAATTAAGCGATCTCGTTATTTCGTTTAAGGTATATCAAAATGTTTTTCCCTCTACGGCTTTGAATTAAATTTCAGGACTTGTAAATTTTCTAATGACCTTTTCGCTATGGTACTTAGACTCTATGAATTTAAGCACAGTCCTATATTGGTGGCAAAGTCTCGTAATTTTACAATGGAAATAGCTAGATGCAACCGTAAGTTCTATACTAGCAGTTTCTTCTCTCACGCTTCTTGCTTGTGTAAATCAATTCCTACTTCTTGCTTTCCATTCAACTTTGATAGAAAATTTAAATGCAATGTCAATAGTTACTTTCTCTCTTCTTAATTTATCTTCTTTTTTTCCTCATATTCTCGCACACTCTTGCGCCTTAGTGGCTTTATTGCCTTGCTAGAGGTGAAATGATTAAATAATTCAAATAATGTTAAAAAGACTGAGGAACTCATCAGCTGGGTCGTTTTACTAGACTTGATTAAACAGCGCTAATTAGAATTGTACATGATATTACAAGGATAATGACACAAATATATCTCACTAATGCTTGCATAAATCTGTGACATCATGGTTTTCACGTCCTGGGTATGACGATAAACTACATCCAGCAGCAAGACCTTTGATCGGGAGGTTTTGAGGAACGTGGAACAATTTCTTAATTGTTGTTCCCAGGTCCAGTTTTGGGAAGTTGACATTAAAACAACAAAGGCTAGTCCGATAAATTCATGCAATAATATGTCATATGATAATTTCTGCGCCTCCCCAGACGAATGCTTTCCGCTGATATGGAGTGGAGAGATTATATTGAATCAACTGCACGGTCTGCTACTAAGAAAGTTGATTAACTATTTTGTGTGCCAGACAAATGTTCTCGACAAAATTTATCTTACACATTTATAAGTCTACCATACATCCATGCATTGAATATTGCTGTCACAGATGGTCTGGTGTTTCTGTTATATATTTAAAGATTCTTGATATTATACAAAGAAAAAAAAACTTCAATGTTATTAGCCCTGGCATTGTACCTTGGCTTCTGTAGCTTCCTTGGGGTTTTTCTATAAATAATTTTATGGTAACTGTTACGGTGATCTTTCCTCCTTGATACCTACTATACGCATTTAAGCTCAGTACTAGATTGCTAGGTGGATCACATCATTTTACACTTGAATTGGCTAAATGCAACCGTAAGTTCTATGTCAACAGTTTCTTCTATCACACCGTTCGCTTGTGGAACTCTCTTTCGGATTATTTGAATATAAAATAGAAAGAAGATTCTGCAATGTTATTAGTCCTGAACTGGCATCTCGGCTCCAGTCGCTTACACACCGCTCTAACATAGCTAAAAATATTTCTATGGTAATTGTTTCTTAGACTATATCTCTTGAGAATTTAAAACAGCTTCTAACCTAACACTTTATCATAACTAACAAAAGATGGCTATTCATCTTTGGGGTTTACTTCAAGAGAAAATACAAGTCCCTTAAAAAACTTACACCAGTTTTGGGAAGTTGACATTAAAACAACAAAGCCGAGTCCGATAAATTCATGCAATATGAACATTTTTGAGCCTCCCCGGATGAATGATTTCCGCTGACATAAAAAGTGGAGAGATTATATTAAATCAATTGCTCGGTCTGCTATTAAGAAAGTTGATTCACTATTTTGTGTGCGAGAAAAATGTTCTCACCAAAATCTATTGTACACATTTATAAATCTACCATTCATCCATTGAATATTGCTCTCACATCTGGCCTGATGTTTCTGTTATGTATTTAGAGATTCTTCATTTAATCGAAAAAAAACTGCAATGTTGTTCGTCACAATTTGTCATCTCAGCTTCAATCACTTTTTTGCCGTCGTAAATTAGTTTCCTTGTATCTTTTGTATAAATATTTTCACGTTAATTGTTCTGATGAACTTTAAGCACAGTACTAGATTGGCAGCTAGGTCTCATCATTATTTTAAGGAATATAGCTTCTATGAAAATGGCGATGGTGTAGGGCAAGGCTAGGTGTTGTGGGTTGGAAAATAATCTTTTGAACGCTGTAAAGGCTGGAAAGTGAGGATTGCTGTCACATCTGTTCTGATCATTCTGTTATGTATTTAGAGATTCTTCATATAATACAAAGATTAAAAACCTTCAGTGTTATTGGCCCTGACATTGAATCTTGGCTTCAGTAGCTTCCCTGTGCTTTTTCTATAAATAATTTCATGGTAATTCTTCTTATGAGCTTTCCTCTTTGGTACTTGTACTATACGAATTTAAGTCCAGTACTAGATTGCCAGTTGGGTCTCATCATTTTAGAATTGAATTGGTTAGATGTAACCGTAGGTTCTATACCAATAGTTTCTTCTATTGCACTTCTTTCTTTCTTTCTTTCTTTCTTTCTTTCTTTCTTTCTTTTCCACGCTTTTTTAAAATTATTTCTTCCATTTTTTCTTTTTCACTCTTTCTTTCTTTCTTTCTTTTTCTACGTTTTCTTAATTATCTAACCTAACACTTTATCATAACTAACAACAGATGGCCATTTATCTTTCGGATTTATTTCAAGAGAAAAATTCCCATAAACACTTAAACGAGTTTTGCACTGACTATTGCTTCTGTTATGTATTTAGAGATTCTTGATATAATACAAAGAGAAAAAACCTGCAATGTTATTGGCCCTGACATTGAATCTTGGCTTCAGTAGCTTACCTGTGCTCTTTCTATAAGTAATTACAATGTAATTTTTCTGATGGTTTTTCCTCTTTGCTACCGCCTATACGCATTTAAGCCCAGTATTAGATTGCCGGGTGAATCTCATCATTTTACAATTAAATTGGCTAGATGTAACCGTAGGTTCTATGCCAATAGTTTCTTCTATCGCACCTCTCGTTTGTGGAACTCTCTTTTGGATTCTTTATTTCCAGGTTATTTCGCTCTTGACCTGGAATATCAGCTTGGTTCACTGTGTCTTGCCAGACAATTTTTCTCACCAGAATCTATTTTACACATTTATAAGTCTACCATTCGCCCATGCATTGAATATTGCTTTCACATCTGGTCTGGTGCTTCTGCTATGTACTTAGATATTCTTGATAAAATAGAAAGATGAATCTGCAATGTTATTAGTCCTGAACTGGCATCTCGGCTCCAGTCGCTTACACACCGCTCTAACGTAGCTAGAAATATTCCCAAGGTAATTGTTTCTTAGATTATATCTCTTGAGAATTTAAAACAGCTTCTAACCTAACATTTTTTCATAACTAACAAAAGATGGCTATTCATCTTTGGGCTTTACTTCAAGAGAAAAATTCCCTTAAAACCCGTTTTGGACTGACTATTGCTTCTGTTATGTATTTAGAGATTCTTGATATAATACAAAGAGGAAAAACCAAGAATGTTATTGGCCCTGACATTGAATGTTGGCTTCAGTAGTTTCCCTGTGCCTTTTCTATAAATAATTTCATGGTAATTGTTTTGATGAGCGTTCCTTTTTGGTACTTGTACTACACGAATTTAAGTCCAGTACTAGATTGCCAGTTAGATCTCATCATTTTAGAGTTGAATTGGCTAGATGGAACCGTAAGTTCTATGCCAACAGTTTCTTCTATCCCTTGTGGAACTCTTTTTCGGATTCTTTATTTCGAGGTTATTTTGATCTTCAAAAATTTTAATACAATATCAATCAGTATCTTCCTGTTCATTTATTATTCTTTCTCCTTATTAATATTTTTATCACCTAACCTCACATTTTCTAACATCTTGCGTTTTATTGCCTTTTGATTGTAATGAAATTATTTTGAAAATAAAGGTTTATTTGTAGGAAAGCGAATGCATCAGTTTTAGATTGAACGTTGCGCGACTATAACATATTCTTGGATTTTCCCCGAGCCCTTGTTAGCCGGCGTGTGTGTCAGACCTGTCCGCCTTGGGTGGCCCTACCAGGAACGAAGTTCCGGGCGGCATAGCTCTGACACTACCGTTTACACCCCCCACCGACTGTGAGGTAAGGGTTGGACTTTGGGGGCTTACAGTACCAGGTGTTCCCAAGCGGTCCCCCATCTAAGTACTGACCTGGCTCTACGATGCTTAACTTCGGTGATCGCACGAGAACCTGTGTTTTCAGCGTGATTTGACCGTAAACATCTGCATTGGTAACCGGCGGCTTCTGGTCGTTCCTGTCTCTGCGTCTGTGGGAACCCCGCGGCAAGCAAGAACGTTATAGGAGTAGGCCTGGGTACCCTACTTCTGTAATTTATCCCAAGAATCTTCTTCTCATAACAGGAAGAAGCCGGCTCAATCCGCCCAGGGTGAATGCCGCATCAGTACAGTAGTAGTATAACATATTCTGCCCAGTACACTCAACGGACCTCTGTATACATTCACAGGTTTGTTACACCCATTGTCATCCTTGACAGGGGCCAATAATAAAAAGAAAGAAAATAAAACCAGCCTACATTACACTCTTTGTCTCTTCTAAATTGAGTTTGAGGCAATTAAGCGGTGTCTTTTTTTTTTTCCTCTTTTTCTTTTTTTCTCTTTTCTTTTTGGTGGGGGGGTGGTGGTGTACGGGGCTTAGATTCTACACGCTTCTGTCATTGACAGTCGCCCCACCCCGTCTTTTGTACTCACTTGGGATTTAATCGCAAAGCCCTCGACGTACAAACGTAGAGGCCACAGGATGTATTTTTAGCTGACACACGCGTTCTTTTCAGTCCTCAACACACCAACCCCTGGTCCATCTGGCCGCAGGGAAATATTTGCGTCATCAGTTTTTTTGTTTTTTTTTTGACGTTCTTACTTTACCCATTTTTTCTCGCTTTCTTTTCTTACTTTCTATCTTCACTCCACTTGTCTTTTCTTCTTCTTTTTTTTTATAACTATCTTAATTAATACTATTTCTGCTTTTCTCTCTTTATCATAAATATTCTCTTTTTTTTGTTATCTGTGAACAACATTATTTCTTTCATAGCTTTTTTTCTTTATTCTTTGTTTTCTTTCTTTTTTTCATTTTTAACTCAAGTATTTTCTTCTTTGTTGACTCAGACGTCTCTTTCGTTCTCTCATTTCCTCTTTTACCTTAAGTCTTTTCTTTGTTTTCTATTGATATTGATTGGGTTCGTACTTTCTTTCTTTTTAAGTATTTTCCTCTTTGTTTTTGTTGATAGTGTTTTCTCTTTCGTCCTCTCTTTTTTTCTTTTACCTTAAGTCTTTAATTTGTTTTGTATTGATATTGATGAGGTACGTACTTTCTTTTATCTTTTTAACTTAAGTATTTTTTTTGTCTTTTGCTGATAGCCTTCTATCTTTCTTGCATACTTTTTTCCTTATATATCTTTTTAACTTTACTATTTTCCTCTTTTTATTTTCTTCTTTTTTTAAATCTATTTTCTTCTTTGTTTTATCTTCCCCGTCTTCTCTCTCTATTGTCGTCTGTGTTTTCTGTTTTTGTGAAATTCTCTACTTGCTTCTTGCTTTCCGGTCAACTTTCATCTTCAAAAATTTAAATACAATCTCAATCGTTATATTTTGTCTTCTTAATACCTCTTCTTTTATTGTTCTCTCACCTTAATAATGTGCATCTTTCTCTTATTTTTAAATACTTAGTAAAACATTGTGTCCGAGTAACTTTATTGCCTTGCTTGGGGTGAAATGATTAAAACAATAAAGCATTTTTTACATTATTCGGACTATTATCCTCATCTTCGTCGCCATATTTATTACAACATTTCGGCCGTTGTACGCTCAGGCCTTCTTCAGGTGGTTGGAATGCCAAACTGAAGAACTACCTGCAGAAGTTCGGAACGTAAAACGGCCGCAACGTTGTAATAAATATGGCTAGAAAGATGAAGACAATAGTCTGAATAATGTAAATAATGTACATAATACCTCATCTCAGAAATATAGACAAATACTGAAAGGCCGAAACGTTGTAATAAATATGGCGACAAAGATGACGACAATAGTCCGAATAATGTAAATAGTGTATAAATACCTTATCTCAAAAAATATAAACAGATACTGAAAGGCCGAAAATTTGTCCGAAATATGGCGATGATTAGGACAATAGTCCGAATAATGTAAATAATGTAATAATACCTTATCTCAGAAATATAGACAGATACTGAAAGGCCGATACGTTGTAAATAATATGGCGACGATGAGGACGTTAATGTAATAAATATGGCGACAAAGATGAGGACAAAGATAGTCCGAATAATGTAAATAGTGTATATAATACCTTATCTCAGAAATATAAACAGATACTGAAAGGCCGAAACTTTGTAATAAATATGCGAGAAAGATTACGACAATAGTCCGAATAATGTAAATAATGTACATAATACCTCATCTCAGAAATATAGACAGATACTGAAAGGCCGATACGTTGTAATAAATATGGCGACAAAATGAGGACAATAGTCCGAATAATGTAAATAGATGTAGGACCTTATCTCATATAAACAGATACTGAAAGGCCGAAACGTTGTAATAAATATGGCGAAAAGATTACGACAATAGTCCGAATAATGTAAAATAATACATAATACTCATCTCAAAATATAGACAGATACTGAAAGGCCGAAACGTTGTAATAAATATGGCGACAAAGATGAGGACAATAGTCCGTATAATGTAAATAATGTACATAATACCTTATCTCAGAAATATAGACAGATACTGAAAGGCCGAAACGTTGTAATAAATATGGCGACAAAGATGAGGACAATAGTCCGAATAATGTAAATAATGTACATAATACCTTATCTCAGAAATATAGACAGATACTGAAAGGCCGAAACGTTGTAATAAATATGGCGACAAAGATGAGGACAATAGTCCGAATAATGTAAATAGTGTATATAATACCTTATCTCAGAAATATAAACAGATACTGAAAGGCCGAAACGTTGTAATAAATATGGCGACAAAGATGAGGACAATAGTCCGAATAATGTAAATAATGTACATAATACCTCATCTCAGAAATATAGACAGATACTGAAAGGCCGAAACGTTGTAATAAATATGGCGACAAAGATGAGGACAATAGTCCGAATAATGTAAATAATGTACATAATACCTTATCTCAGAAATATAGACAGATACTGAAAGGCCGAAACTTTGTAATAAATATGGCGACAAAGATGAGGACAATAGTCCGACTGATTTAAATAATGTACATAATACCTTATCTCAGAAATATAGACAGATACTGAAAGGCCGAAACGTTGTAATAAATATGGCGACAAAGATGAGGACAATAGTCCGAATAATGTAAATAATGTACATAATACCTTATCTCAGAAATATAGACAGATACTGAAAGGCCGAAACGTTGTAATAAATATGGCGACAAAGATGAGGACAATAGTCCGAATAATGTAAATAATGTACATAATACCTTATCTCAGAAATATAGACAGATACTGAAAGGCCGAAACTTTGTAATAAATATGGCGACAAAGATGAGGACAATAGTCCGAATAATGTAAATAATGTACATAATACCTTATCTCAGAAATATAGACAGATACTGAAAGGCCGAAAACGTTGTAATAAATATGGCGACAAAGATGAGGACAATAGTCCGAATAATGTAAATAATGTACATAATACCTTATCTCAGAAATATAGACAGATACTGAAAGGCCGAAACTTTGTAATAAATATGGCGACAAAGATGAGGACAATAGTCCGACTAATTTAAATAATGTACATAATATCTTATCTCAGAAATATAGACAGATACTGAAAGGCCGAAACGTTGTAATAAATATGGCGACAAAGATGAGGACAATAGTCCGAATAATGTAAATAATGTACATAATACCTTATCTCAGAAATATAGACAGATACTGAAAGGCCGAAACGTTGTAATAAATATGGCGACAAAGATGAGGACAATAGTCCGACTGATTTAAATAATGTACATAATACCTTATCTCAGAAATATAGACAGATACTGAAAGGCCGAAACGTTGTAATAAATATGGCGACAAAGATGAGGACAATAGTCCGAATAATGTAAATAATGTACATAATACCTTATCTCAGAAATATAGACAGATACTGAAAGGCCGAAACTTTGTAATAAATATGGCGACAAAGATGAGGACAATAGTCCGAATAATGTAAATAATGTACATAATACCTTATCTCAGAAATATAGACAGATACTGAAAGGCCGAAACGTTGTAATAAATATGGCGACAAAGATGAGGACAATAGTCCGAATAATGTAAATAATGTACATAATACCTTATCTCAGAAATATAGACAGATACTGAAAGGCCGAAACTTTGTAATAAATATGGCGACAAAGATGAGGACAATAGTCCGATAATGTAAATAATGTACATAATACCTTATCTCAGAAATATAGACAGATACTGAAAGGCCGAAACGTTGTAATAAATATGGCGACAAAAGATGAGGACAATAGTCCGAATAATGTAAATAATGTACATAATACCTTATCTCAGAAATATAGACAGATACTGAAAGGCCGAAACGTTGTAATAAATATGGCGACAAAGATGAGGACAATAGTCCGAATAATGTAAATAATGTACATAATACCTTATCTCAGAAATATAAACAGATACTGAAAGGCCGAAAAATAAATATGGCGACAAAGATGAGGACAATAGTCCGAATAATGTAAATAATGTACATAATACCTTATCTCAGAAATATAGACAGATACTGAAAGGCCGAAACGTTGTAATAAATATGGCGACAAAGATGAGGACAATAGTCCGAATAATGTAAATAATGTACATAATACCTTATCTCAGAAATATAGACAGATACTGAAAGGCCGAAACTTTGTAATAAATATGGCGACAAAGATGAGGACAATAGTCCGACTGATTTAAATAATGTACATAATACCTTATCTCAGAAATATAGACAGATACTGAAAGGCCGAAACGTTGTAATAAATATGGCGACAAAGATGAGGACAATAGTCCGAATAATGTAAATAATGTACAAAATACCTTATCTCAGAAATATAGACATATACTGAAAGGCCGAAACTTTGTAATAAATATGGCGACAAAGATGAGGACAATAGTCCGAATAATGTAAATAATGTACATAATACCTTATCTCAGAAATATAGACAGATACTGAAAGGCCGAAACGTTGTAATAAATATGGCGACAAAGATGAGGACAATAGTCCGAATAATGTAAATAATGTACATAATACCTTATCTCAGAAATATAGACAGATACTGAAAGGCCGAAACTTTGTAATAAATATGGCGACAAAGATGAGGACAATAGTCCGAATAATGTAAATAATGTACATAATACCTTATCTCAGAAATATAGACAGATACTGAAAGGCCGAAACGTTGTAATAAATATGGCGACAAAGATGAGGACAATAGTCCGAATAATGTAAATAATGTACATAATACCTTATCTCAGAAATATAGACAGATACTGAAAGGCCGAAACTTTGTAATAAATATGGCGACAAAGATGAGGACAATAGTCCGAATAATGTAAATAATGTACATAATACCTTATCTCAGAAATATAGACAGATACTGAAAGGCCGAAACGTTGTAATAAATATGGCGACAAAGATGAGGACAATAGTCCGAATAATGTAAATAATGTACATAATACCTTATCTCAGAAATATAGACAGATACTGAAAGGCCGAAACTTTGTAATAAATATGGCGACAAAGATGAGGACAATAGTCCGACTGATTTAAATAATGTACATAATACCTTATCTCAGAAATATAGACAGATACTGAAAGGCCGAAACGTTGTAATAAATATGGCGACAAAGATGAGGACAATAGTCCGAATAATGTAAAATAATGAAATATAAACAGATACTGAAAGGCTTGTAATAAATATGGCGACAAAGATTACGACAATAGTCCGAATAATGTAAATAATGATAATAATACCTTATCTCAGAAATATAGACAGATACTGAAAGGCCGAAACGTTGTAATAAATATGGCGACAAAGATGAGGACAATAGTCCGAATAATGTAAATAATGTACATAATACCTTATCTCAGAAATATAGACTACTGAAAGGCCGAAACGTTGTAATAAATATGGCGACAAAGATGAGGACAATAGTCCGAATAATGTAAATAATGTACATAATACCTTATCTCAGAAATATAGACAGATACTGAAAGGCGGAAACGTTGTAATAAATATG